TAGAATATCTATATCTATATATATATATATAGATATTTATATATATATATAGTATATATAATACTTTATATATATATATAATATATACAATATATGTATAATAATATATATATATATATATATATATATTATATAATAGCTTAGAGTATTATATATATATATACTCGTAGGTAGGTCACTTAATTATTATAAGGGCAGGAAAGCAGTACTGGTGCTATTTGGGTCGGTCACCCTGGCCAGGGCAGCATAGCAGTACGTTCGAACACGTCGTATTCAAGTAGTCGCCGTAGTACCCGTAGCATAGTAATAGAATACCCCTATAGCACTGGTAGTGGTGAATGTTGCAGTGCTTGGTGTTGATGTTGCAGTGCTGCAGCTTGGCCTAAGGCCGCTGGTGTTTCTTGAAACCTATCTAGACATGCATGCGCTGCAATGCATAGGTTCTATCTAGATATGCATATGTGTTGCAATGCATAGCTTGTGTCTAGACATGCATGTGTTGCAATGCATAGGTTCTATCTAGACATGCATGTGTTGCAATTCATAGGTTCTATCTAGACATGCCTGTGTTGCAATGCATTATAGGTTGTATCTAGTCATGGATGTGTTCCTGTGTTGTAGGTTTTCTGTCGGTCGAAGCTATAGTCGTGTTGTGAACAACTCGAGAGCTTCGTCTTGTGTAGTGGCTTGGTATGGCCAGCTTTGCACAGCTTGCGCCGAATGCATGCAGTATCGAAAATCACACCTCTTAACTGACTTCTGTCCTGTCTGTGCCCCGGATCCGAATGGATATATGGGCATTGCGACGGTGAAGCAGCATCTCGACTTGATATGTAGACATGGCAGTCACGAGATCTTGTCAACAGTTATGTTGTATATTTAAATTTGGCTGTTCTGAGGTAATTTTGGTGTGGCCACTTTGGTGCTGGACCTTGCTACTGCACATATAGAAACGCACCTGGGATGAATATTCAACCCCGGCATTGCACCATTCAGCCTTGACCTGCTGTGCTTCGCCTATAAGGTGTTTATCTCTGGACCCTGTGGCTGAGCAGCTGCTGGGAATTGCAAGTGTCTATATATATGGACCGTGGATTGGCATTGCGGGAACGGCCCAGCCGCTCTTGCTCATATAAGTTCAGTGCTTCGGATAGTGTGTGCATTTCAAGTACTGCTTCTGTCGACCGCTGGTTGCTGCAAGGTGCAACTCCTCATGTGGTGCATTTGCAAGCAGTGGCTGGACAGTATCAGTATCGAGATGGATCTGAAGCTGCACCAGCAGAGGAACTCAATGGTGATCTAGGTGCAACCACCCCCGGTGCCGCCGTGCACAGCTGTGCATTTGTGTTTGTGTGCATGCTGTTTTTGTGCATGCAAATGAAATTTGACTCTTGTCATGGTCGGCTGGCATTTAAGCTTTTTGGTGCCCCGGCCGAGCTGTGCTGTGCTGTCCACCTGCAACGTGGGTGCAGGTGGGGGTTTTAGGGCTGGTCTGAGGTGTTTCAATATGGGTTGTTCTGCATGCAGGCTGCAAAGCGCTGTGATGGAGCAGCGACGATTGATGGAGAAATACCTCCTCGAGGAATTCTGAGCTTGAGCTTCATGAGTTTAGTTGTGGTGATTGCACAATCGATGGCAGGACTTCTTGAATGGATGGTTCACGAGGAACGAGGAGACCCTGCCGGCAATCCGGAAACACAAGGAGTCTATATGAACTGTGTCTTTTCATGTTTGATTGAGATATCTCGACACGATGCAGGAGCATGCGGTGTTGAACGTGCCAGCAGCTGGAGTGCAGAGTGTAACCATGGCGGGCTGGGATCTGTCCTTCAAACATGCACAATATCAGATTTGAAGCCTGCAGTGTTGATGAACCTGTCGTTTCCCTGCAGTGCGAAGAACACTTTGATTTTCTTTGCCACTATTTCGCGACCCTCGGTGCGAAGTTGCCATTGTTTTCCTGCCACAAGGCCAGCAGTCATCAGGTGCCTTAAGTGTTCAATCCAGGATTTGTATATACTTAGGTGCACATATGCTCACGTTTTGCTGCAGGCTGTGCTGCAGACATTGGCGAAACGCTATGCAATTTTCCCGGCCCAGACTCGCAAGCGCATTCTCAAAGCATCTTTTCGGCATTTCAGTTTTTATGCTGCTTGAAAGACATCATGCCCACAGCCACAGACGTTGTGATGTTGATGTAATAAGGCTTGGGCAGCAAGCGAAGCGAGTGTGATGAGAGGCATGGCGGTCCATGCTTTGTTGTTGGCACGACGATCCTCTGGATCCAAGTGTCACGGCCGAGCTTTGGAGTTTGGCTTAAGGGTTCTCGTTTGCTGAATTTCAACCTATAATCGAACATCGCTTAATAAGGTCTGCAAAGATCCGCATGCTGAAGGAGCTGATCGCCTCTGCCCTCGGTGCTGTGGCTATGAGTTACGACCTATACATATATCTATATCTATATATATATATATCGTTGTTATATAATAATAATAAATAAAAAAAAATATATATATATATATATATAAAATTAGTGTATGAGTGCTTCGGGTGTGAACAATGCAACTATGCATGAGTTCCATATATTGCACTTTTTTGTAATAAAACTTCAGGTGCTTCTGATGTCGATGCAGCTATCGAAGCAGAGATCCAAGCCTCCCTCCAGGATCCTACTCTCCAGGCACAGCATGTTAAGTGTGCAGTAACACATGATATTAATGGTGTGTGCCACCCCGGGAGCCCCATGTGCACATTTGCACTTTTGCGACAGGATGGGTCAGCCGATTCGCAAAGCTCTGCTTCCATTGATGGTGAAAGAATGGTCACCCGACTGATCGTGAGGCATTGGGTTTAAGTTAATGGGATAATCAACCTTAGCATTCAGTCTTGATGATATCGATAGCGATATATATGGTCTTGACATTCAACATGGGTGTCTACAAAGTGGAAGGCCTCATGACCCGAAATTAGTCATTCGCATCACTCGAGACCGGGACAAAACAGGTATGATGTCATAGCGGAATGTAAACCGAAAGTCCTATAAGGCCCCTAGTCGTCGTTAGCACCAACCCCAGATCTCGAGCTCACTCGATGTTGCAGTCCATAACATCACATCACGAACTGCAGATTCTTAACCCTAAAAATATTCCTAGCCCTGATCAGAAGCTAGCACAAAGCATCTAGCGACTTCAACTCAGTATATTATGCCTCTAGACATCAGCTCATGTGAACCTGCTCCCAAACCTTAAAGGCCAGCATCAGCTTTGAAGCCCATATATTTAGGTGCCTAATATTTCGAAAATTACAACCAACTTTATTATAAAGACATATATATATTTCCTATATGATTAAAGCCTAAGGCTAACATCCTTGACGACAACCCCGCTATAACCCTTGCCAGCAGGATCAGGATGATCTGCTGGAGGAGCTGAAGCCGCCAGCCTCCATCCTGAAAGCTTCGTGGTGGCTATGACCATGCATGCTGCACATATATATATAATATATGTTCAGACTCCAGCTATGCATACAGATGATGTTACCGCTGCAGGCTTTCCCTGGCAATATCGACAACATGGAGACGCAGGTGACCTGGTGGGACATCCCTCCTGTGGAAGGCTGCAAAGCCATGATCGTGGAGGACATGTATAGATCGTTGCACCAATTGCACGTGACGTCTAGACACATGACCAAAATCTGTTAAACTGCAGCTGGAGGACAAGGAGAATCAGCAGAGGGCCCCTGTGAACCCAGCCCCGGCGAATCTTACGTTGTCTGAAGACCTTGTGAAGACGCACGACAAGGATTTGCAGGAAGCCAGGCTTTCGGAAGCTGTGGCAGAACAGCTGGAGGCCCACCCGATCCCACGACCCAGTCCTCATAGTCTGCCAGAACTTCCGTAATCACCTGGCTGTGGCACAAACTACAAACAAGCATGAACCCTAAACCCCTATAAGTGGCCCACTAGCTGCAGTATATATTAAATACATATACAGGTGGCTTGTAGGTGTTTGGGGGACCCACAATGAACAATTTCAGCTTTGGGCTTATATGTGTATACTGTATATATTTAGAACCTAGCTATATATATATATATATATATATATATATATCGGGCTCCGGCAAACCTAAACCCTAAATTAAAACTGTACAAATCCTATTAAATCCCCGTGTTTCCAGGTTCAGAAGGCGGCACGGTTGGCTGCAGCTGCACGCAAAGTTGAAGCCGCAGCAAAGAAGGCTGATCCCAAAACGGTGGCCAAAGGGTCCAAAGTGAAGACAGGTGCTGTGAAGGGTCGCGGCCGTGGACGTGGCCGTGGTGCGGTCTCGCAAGCCGAGCCACAGCAGGAGGCTGCTGAGGCCTCAGCAGAGGAGGAGGAGGAGGAAGCCGAGAACGCCGAGGACATCGCCACCACCCCCAAAGCCGAAGCCGCCCCCAAAGCCAAAGCCAAGGCTAAAGGTAAAGCAAAAGCGAAGCCCGCAGCCCAAGCACCGGCCGAGAATGTCGTGGAGAGTGGAAAAAAAGCGAAGCCGGCAGCCCAAGCGCCGGCCGAGAATGTCGTGGAGAGTAAGGCAAAAGCGAAGCCCGCAGCCCAAGCGCCGGCCGAGAATGTCGTGGAGACCGACTGGGACACGAAGGTGCTTGCATGTGTAGCATGTATGCATGCAGGCACATAATAAGTTATATTCCCTACAAACCCTAAAACCTAAACCCTAAACCCTAGCAAACCCTAAACCCCAACAAACCCTAAACCCTTATACAAACCCTGAACCCTAACAAACCCTAAACCCTAAGAAACCTTAGATCCTAACAAACCCTAAACCCTAACAAACCCTAAACCCTAGCAAACCCTATCTATGCAGAGGCTACCGAGCTGAAGAAAGCTGGGATCCCTATCCCTGATGGCTTCGATGGAAGCCACAAAAGCTACACCTTGGCAGCGAAGACGTACAACCCCGCAACCCCGGATGCCGGGTCTATCGGTGTGCTGTGATCTGTCGGCAAACATTCAAATTACAATTTAGTCTGTGTTGTGCTAGGTTCTGTCTACCCCTACCCACATGAACAGAATCTCTGGCCCAGGTGGACAAGCAATACACTTTATGTGAATACCGTCGACGACACGTCAGGCTTCCACAAGAACAAAAAGGGTGGCTGCAACATATGCCGTTCCAAGTATGAAAACTCGTGGAAGTCCTGCTGGAATGCTGCGAGATTCGCAGCTGGATGGACAGTGACTTGGCTTGCCGATTGTTGCATATAAGGGCTAATTGATCGGAGAGTCGAGCTACACTGCAGCTTCATCTATCTTACCGACTGAGGACAGAATGGGCAAGTGATTACATCATGAATGGATGGATATTATGATGCCAAGATCACATGATGCTGATCGGGTTGCTTGGCTTGCACCTAAGCTGCCTGAGCTTAGCTTTCGCACAAATTTGGAAACTTTGCCCTGAACCTTAATCTATACATATATATATGTATCTCTCTCTCTCTAACCATACACCGAAGACACCTACACATAAGAGCCACCCCTATCTCCAGGTCGGGGCCTGCAGAGGCCATCGGTCTCTGCTGCTGTGCACTGATGGATGCCTGCGAGCTCAGCTGGTCGTTACACATCAATTCGGATGTGGTCATGTTATGGTACAACCTCCAGAATCGCTATCTATCTATCCAGCAGGGTCTGTGTGCCATACTACAATTGATGTATTGACACCTGTGCTGCAGGATCATCCAGAATTCGATTGCATTACAAAGTCCTTAAAACAGCTTCTTTGAGCTAGAAAGCAAGCCACCTATTAATTGGCTACGACGAAATCTGTATACAGACCTTAAGCACTTAAGCAGCTGGTGCCATGGCTGGGGAACCACTGTATGTTTCTTGCAACACAGCATCCTTCCTGGAGCGCTGTGGGGTGCCGATCATTATGCCCCCTTGTCTTAATATTATAAGTTCACAGCAGGTAAATATATTATGTAGCTAGTCCACGACCTGTTGCCTGAGGCTTCATGCTCTCGATTATATTTGCCAAATCAATATGAGCCGCCCGGATTCCGAACACCGCTGGAGCCGAGCCCACTGCTGGACATATTGTGATGCTGTGTTATTTTGCAAGTTATAAACGACCCCGGCTTGACTTAGTCCATCAAACCGTTCTACTCAGGAATTGCACTTCCTCGAGATGTTCAGTGGAAGCAGCAACCTCACCCGAGCATGTCGCCCCTTCGTCCTTGATATGACTAGACAGAAAGCCTACTGGTAACCTGTCTGTTTGTACATGTGCCCACAATCCACCTTGATTTGTATCCCAGGATCAGCTGGCTTGGTATCGCAAGCCTCTCAAAAGGGATAGATGGCGAGGATCTGTGCATGTTTGTTTTTAATGGCAGCTAAATACAGTGCACCTAAATTACTGAGGCAAAACTATGAAATCCGGATCCGGGGGAATCTGAACGACATTCTCAAAGTCGAGGGGCTACTTGTAGCTGCCAGGGACGTTCTCAGGCTGAGGAAACACGGCCTGCTTTGGGGAGGAGTCCCCTGCTCTTCGTGGCTCGGCTTATAAAACTGTATCTCAATACCGAAAACCTCAGGGTCCCCAATACCTGGAATGCTCACCCAAAACCCTA